CAATAGAATTAACGGATTTCGGCTTCCATCACTGTCCTAGTCGAGTTATCAACCAATAAAAGTACTGAATACATTAGGCAGGAAGGCTAACAGGTTTATTAATGTCTCATGAAAGAAGGATTCTTTACAAATCACTACCATTGTTTGTTAGACACTTAGTCTCTGGTCTACTTAACTAGACCTTTATTTCTCATAAAATGGAACAGAACATTTGAGCTTTTATTGTTCCATAATGGCATATTCAAATCCACCAGAAACCAGGTTAATGGCGTAACAATGTGCTACGAACGTTTCCTTTTGCACTTAGAATTTCCAATTACGCATAGCCGCGACAAAAATGTTCCATTTTGCATCACCCACTCCCCATGTGTAATGTACTCATACTTTGATGAGTTGAGTCTCGGGACATAGTGTTGCAAATCACATAGCGCCTCTCTAGGTTGAGTCTAATCAAATGACATCAGAACAATACTTAGTTCTATTCGTTATTTTTGGTACACTCTAACGTAAGAAACCGCACGTAAAATTGATTTGAGTTGAAAATTGCGCCATCTCTTAAGACAGGTCAAACTATGACACCACCATATGCAAAAGAAAATATTAAAATACGTCTTTTGGAATTTGTTTTAATAAAAATAGCTGTTAGTGCAGCGCTAACACTCAGCAAGTTATGGATTGTTTATCTTGAATACAAATCTGTCTTTTGTGGATTCACCTGCTCCGAATGCATAATTCAAGCTTGAATTAGAAAAATCATTGTAAATGAATAGTGATGCTGAAAATCAATGACACTGCATGACGTTATCCAGCTTTTAGAAATAGTTGCGGCAAAAATGTTGGGGCAATGGGTGGTGATCAATATCCAAGCGTTAGCTGAGGATAAAAATCCTTAACAAGCAAGATAACACGAATAAAGGAATTAAATAGTGCGATGACTACCAGGTATCCTAGTGTGTTTTGTTTTTCTGGTGTCACTTTCAAGGTAATGCCCGGATTTGACAATTAAATTACATTTTTTCGTTTTATAAAACAGCCCATTTTTACTGAACAATAAAATAAATATTCATAAAGCAATAGGAAATACACCGATAATTAAATCCTAACTCGTCAGAGAGCAATAAACAAACTACACAGACTTTTTCATAGATTTCACACGTCTAAGTCTTTACGTGTTCAAGTTCCATTGTTTGATGTCTACCATAACATTACAATTTGAAAACTAAAATTTAGAATAACGTTATCATGTACGAAACATTAAGCGAAGGAGACAAATCGGGCTAATGTGCTCTCCAATTGAATTGTAACTCGCGTGCATGAACAAATATGTGGCTATGTGGTACATGCGTTACGGAATGCACAGTGCAAAGCTAAAGATGCATCATGTTGTGACAACAAATCATTTCACAGGATGGGAAACCAAATGAACCTGTAGATGTCATCCGCAAAGCTATATCGAGTATTGCATTTAAACTAAAATTAACTGAAGTCCGATAATCGTCATTTGAACTAAGACGCATATTCCTTCTCCAGGTGAGGTCATACTGTTTGTGCTCCGCGGTACGTGAGAAAATATTTGCATTTAACATTTAGATTGAACCTCGCTTTTAAACTCAGCGAAGTAGGATGTGATATCAATGCCAATTTTTCAATTGTTGTGAATGAAAAAGGAGACAGAACAAAATTTAAAATGAAAAATAAATCCATTAGAGTTGAATCGTTTTTAGTAAGATCACGCGCCTATTTCATCCGCAACCTTTTTTCTCGAAACGCTTTCACCGATTGAAAGGTTTTACGTGAAAGAAACGATCTAGCTGATGCTTCCAAAAAGTTGTTAGCACACGCATACGATTGGTTCAAATGATATCACGCAATCACATGCATCTAATTTATCAATTAAATAGAACATTTCGGTCGATCTCAGTAGCGCGGTGTCACCGACTCGTTGGTCTTGTCATTCTCTTCCAGTTCACCGCCTAATTGCAGCTCAACGTGTGCAAAATCTGTTGATCAGTTTGGTTGATCGAACAACTGTATTGCATTTCGAGATCACCTACTCTGTGAATCACAACATTCTATTAATATTATTTGGTGAATAAATTTAGTGGTGGTAAACAGTTCATCATATTGAGTGAAAGAAAAATATCCATTACAAACAATTTTGATGCCTCGAGCAATCCCCCACACATTTGCTACCTTGTGATCTCAGCTGTCCATTTTCCAGAATAATCCGTGATGGAACAAAATCACGTGTACACATTAAAACAAAAGAAGTTGTTTGAAACGCGGAACAAATAATAGCAAAGCACAGTGCGAGTTGGGACACGGACCGGGAGAAGGAATTGGGGGAAGCGAGCGGGTGGGTTGATGGAATTTTTTCATATCGTGCTCAAAGTATACAGTGGAGAATCAGTGTGTGAAACATACTGACCACGATATTAATTACGAAAATAGTTATCAAACACTGTCACGAGATGAACTTGTTGAGGAAAGAAAACGGTTATCAATACCTTCCTCCAGTGCGTAATTCCCACTAATATACGAGTGGATAATCTGAGCGCAAAGTATCATCGCTGTTATTTAGAGCGGTATTGTTATTCCTTTTACCATTAGGTTAAGTACCAGTTGTACGATTATGTTGATGGTGGTGCATCGGAACACTCAGTGTGCACTTTAGTAATAGCACAACACATTTTCTGCCGTAAACATTTGCAGCTTCTTATGCTACCACGATATAGGCATCCATTACCGTTTCTATGCACGTACGCACCTACAGGCATTCCTAACTTGTTCAATCTAAGAGATCAATACATACCCTCAAATTGCACAATTTGGCTTTTTCTATCAGGTTTATCGAATTCGCGTTTGGCATTTATGCAACAAATAGGAAGTCTAACCATCATACCTGGTACCTTTCTCACTTACTGATTTCGTCTTATATATACATAGAGATATATAGTCTACCCTTTAGTTGTGTGGTGGCCAGGACCATGAAACTGATCGCGTGCATCTCCAAACTTTGTCTAGTCATTCATATACTAGTCAATATAAATATATATATATATATTGTTTAAGGCAGGATGTGTCATTACTTGGGTACTTATTACTCATGATATACTGTACATTAAACCCCTAAAATATGTGATCATCTGGTTCTGATTTATCATGAAATCGGACTGTACGGTTACTATTCCAGAAATTTGAAGATAGATGTCACTTCGTTGCGATTCGCTTTGTGTTTCCACTCCAGTCTACAGACGGAACACGTTTAACCGTGTCCTGATTTGAACACGTAGGTTACATAGATTCGAAAATGCTGTTACTGATCAACTCACTGTATGCACCTTTACTGGTGTTTGATCCACAGAAAAGTACTCGTTTTAAATCAAGAATATAAAGTATCGCACAGAACGGTATTAGTAAAATTTAAAAAAAACAAGAGTAACAAAGATTATAAACAATTAAGAAATAAGCAATCTCAACACTAGAGAATTCTCCTGTGATCAGACGTGATATATTTTTTATTTATCACAAACTCCAAACTGAAGTACAACAGAAACATTATACTTCACGTTGCGTGCACCTGTGTGTCTATAACTAGCATGGGTAACTGGTTTTCAAAGATAGGTACGCATTCAAAACTCAAAGTATTAGAATGATCAGTTGACAGGCGAATTGCAGATGAGGTTCACATTGCTCCAAAACCTATGGAAACTGAGGGATTACGGAGCACAGTAATTTACAGGAGACCCATAAAGGTAATGAGATTAAAAGTAGCCCAAAACAAGGCGTCTTACACGACTCAATGTTAGGCCTTTTGTTCTTTTAAGCATATTTGTTACTGGCTCCCAAAGGGAATGAGATGATGATGATGATGATGATGATGATGATGATGATGATGATGATGATGATGATGATGTTAATCATGATAATGATACAAAAACACGACATTTGGAAGACGGCTATTCATTATCAATGTTCAGCAACAATGAGGATATCAATTTTGTTGTCACCTTGTCCACCCTCTATAAAAGATCATACTTTTTTTCTTTTTCTTTTACTTCCTTTTATTTCATATCTAAAGATACAATTTTCACTTAGGGCCAAGCGGCCAATCAGAGGGCTGCCATGTGGAAGGTCAGACGGTGATAGCAGGATTCGAATGCATATCCCCGGGGTGATAATTTGGTGACCTTAGCACCAGGTCACCACGGCCCCAAACCATTTCAAAACAATCAGGTTCTAATCTCTTTAACAAATTCCATTTAGTCATCTTGCATGTAAACCTGAGATAGTGGACTGAGGTGCAACAAACCGAATATTGAAGTTTATGCTTATGACTTAAAAGAAGGATAGGGTTTGGTAGGATATTTAACTGTAAATCGGAGAATAAAGTCTCGCCTTTAAGAGACACATGTTTCCGTCAGACCACATAGCGGACATAAAACCTTTCGTTATGTGTAAGCTACTGTCGAATGATGGATTAGTTCACTGGTTGAACAGCACCAGAGGCCAGGATGCTGAGTAAAAGTTTCTTCTTGTTTGCATTAAAAGGATCCTTGCAGACCACGATAAACGTCTGTGCTGGAAAAAGAATAAACAAAAACGGTGTCTAGGGATTTCTATCAGAAATGAGCATTACCTCGATTTCATTTGGACTACGGAACACAAATGCCATTTTAGTTGTAGCGTATGGTGGTCTATGTGGTAAAGTTAAAAAGCTGCATAAGCAAACAAAAATTGTTCAAAGTTATCATCAAACCATCGGGCTCCTCATGACAAACGGTGAAAAGCACGTTGTTCACAAGTAAATAGTTAACCGAGGTAGAACAGAGTCATTTAAAAGCCATAAAGAAAGTTGATTTCAAATTATCGTGTAATCCTTTTAACCTCAGTTTGTTTTAATAACTTATTCCCCCGCCCCGTCAAATTATCGTACTAAAGGCTCTTTGGATTGCTCCAATCAAACGCAAACCCCAATACACTACTGTCGGTACCGCGTGATGTCCGCCGATCACGTACGTGTGGACTATAAAGTTGAACTGAATGATGAACAGGATGCCGGGAAATGGTGGTGCATGTTCCGTGGACAAAGTTCCGATCCGATCGAGCTTCAATATCAGCCAGCAGAGAAAAAAACTGTGGCTCTACCGCAGTTGAACCCCGAAACTACAAAAACCCCTGGTTCCCACAACACTACCCACGTTGTGCCGTTAAACGGAAATGGTTCTGCAGTGAAACTCGTGGTGAAAAACGCCACTCATGAGACACAGTCTAGCATTGTAGATACCGATCTCTTATTCGGTAAGTCAAAGGCTATTTTATCGGCTTCAGTGTACAGTTATTGTTTAGAGTGCATTCTCGGAAAACTGGCAATATTCATAGATTAGGATATTATTGGAATAACGGTAGTGAACAGTTGTTGAGTACGACCAGTTTGGCTCATTTTATCTCAGTGAGTGAAAGCACAACACGGAACAGAATATCTCCCACTTCCATTCAGTTTATACAGTCTGAAGATTCGGAAATGATATTGCACAACATTTCTAGCGTGTGCAATAGAAAAAAAGTGTGGCACATGTACGACAAATGCAATCGTTGCAAATGAAAACATGCATGGCAATCAAGAATTTCGCTCAGTAGTATGCATTCACATGTGATTTCCTGTTAAGTCCTACAAATAGCAAATAACAGTAAATTCCTAGAAAGAACATAATTAGCGGATTGCAAAGCCCTTTCTTTCCGGTTGGTTTAGGTACGAGGAACCAATTAATGACCTCCACTGCATTACTGGGTGTAACATGGCTCAGAGTATATGTTATGAAAAGTGATACAGAAACGTTTACCTTCCTGTGCGTAGACACAAGAGAGAATTTCAATTCCGACGTTTTACATTCCATTTTTTCTACCATAAATTATTGATTTTGGAGTTTAAATCATCTTTTGAAAAATTTAATATTCATATTACTGCGATTTGGGAGATATTTTGGTAATTCGCCCTGCATTACAATGCAAAATCAAAACAATTACGATGGCTTTTTCCACCCACCAACAGAAAAAAGATGTAATCCTAGCTCATAACAGGAAACCCTAAAAATTGGCCGTCAATTTTCCACTTTTATTTGTTTGTCGGTTTGAGATTACTCCATGTATTACTCTGTGAGAACAAATTGCTCTTTTGAGTCGTCGGATTGGAAAAATACTATCGATGCAGCCATCGTGGTTGGGTCTAACTATTCTATCTTATTAGGACTATTATCCGAAGTATCCTAGTTCCTTGTGTCAAAATAAGCGGTTATAGTGTAGTTTTGCAAGCAGTAAATATAGAAAAATATCAACAGTTTCTCAAGTTTAAGGTTTCTGTACTCCTTAGCTAGTAAAAGGATTACGTGAAGAGGACCTCAACGTTGTACGGTAGCACAAAATCAAATAACCTTAATGGAAGAAACTCACTTCTGACAAAATGAACATAATCAAAGAAACACAAAAAAAGTGAGTGCACAAAGTGTAAGCACTTTAACCGAATATAAGTATTATTGTTATAAATCCACAAAATAGTGCCGGGACGAGGATAGTTATGTGTTAGGAATAACGGTCAGGGTATCGATAAATTGCTTTCATATAACAAAATTTCTCATTTGGAAAGAGTCTTCAGAATTCCCACACGCACACAGGATAATTAAAGGAACGATTTAACAATAGATGCTCATTCCTGTAGCTATCATACTGAATACATTAATTTGCTCCACCTGGTCTTGTTCATTTTTGACCGTCAGAAACCACTAATCGCATCCGTTTGCATACTAATCACAGATGTGAGTAAAAGCCACAACTTTAGTATGAGTAAAATTGTTTTATTGTGTTCCGTAACTTTATTTTCCAAAATGAGCGACAATAAACTGGTATTATACGCATTCGGAAAATAATTGCATTTACTATCATACCCGCGGAACAAACCTCGGAACATACGGTTTCACATCGGCATTGCAGAAGATATAATCCGAACAGTTGGCTAAAGCATAATACCTCCTGATTCGAATTATTCAAAAGATATATGTCTGTCCCAACTTGATAAGATTAAGCTGGCTCATATTCCAGGTTCTGAAGAAGACCAAAAGTGTAAATCAACCTGGGAAAGAGCACCTGTCCCTGACAGAGATTTTTCTTCTGTACATTTAGAATAAGCGGTCAACGAAGGATTAGCTGAAAACTCAGTCGGATTTTGTCATCATTCTTATACGAAATGCATTCATCTTGAAAACAGATATATCACGTATAGTCACATAATCAGAAGCTCCAAATAATGCTTCCAGTTGAGAAGAATACAAATTTGCAATCAGGAGCTTGTCAATGCTTCCTAGCTTTGTAAATAGAACAGTTTAGGTGTGTTTGTTCTCCGAGCCTGGCAGTTTGTTTGCGCACCTTTCTGTCATGACTTCCAATGCTTTGTTAACTGTGCATGATTTTTCGCCGGCAGAAGTTTGACAGGGACGGAACACAATATAGCAAACAGCACTTGGTTTGTCGTCTTTGGCTAACACACCCCTTTTTATCAAAAATCGGGTGAACTAGAATAGGGTGGATGCATTGCTAACAAAAAAGACAACAACGGAAACTTAATGGACTAGTAGAAATGTACATATCTATCGTTTCCGATGTAGTGCTGAGTCCGAATTTACGGAACTCATATCAACTGAAAATGATTCACTGAAAACAGGTCTATTTCGATACTTTGTGTTCAATTTAAAATGTTTATTGGTGGTTTAAACAGCCCAATATTGTATTGAGCATTTTCAAACGGCAACATTATCATCATAAAGTGGATTCGTTGCGAATCAGTTAACATTAGTTCGGAGGCTTCGGGGCCACCTAAATGTTGGCCGTCTAACTATGGTGCACGTTTACAACGGTACTTGTAAAACTGTAACGAATATGCTCGAAGTTCGCAGGTTGAGTGAAAAGAGTGATATGTCGCTGATGTTCTACAGTCCTGGCCTAGATATTACCGTCAACTGGAAAGAAATGATATAGGAAATCATCTCGATCAGCTGTAACCTAATTGAGAAAACACAAATATTGGAATAAAGCAGCTTAACTCACGCTAAAATCAACCCACGTATGAGTGTGCAACGTAAATTTAGTTTCGAAAATACGCGTGTATGTATGTCGATAGACACGGGTGAAAAGCACTTATTCCAACATGTATCTTTAACTGCAATGCTATTAGTTCTTGCGTATCTAACTTTGAATTTGCGGGACCAAGGGCGTCCCGGTGAACTTTGTATTAGTTCTAAAGTAGTAAATTCGAATTAAATAATGTTATGCAAAACTTTATGGAAATTCATTATTTATAATAAATGATTTCCCCTCTCGTGCGGGTATTTTTTCTGGTCAGTACATGTATTCCAAACTGCTTAGCTTTATTCGTTCATTGGCAATTAACTGAGCCGAAAAAAGAAAATTTCCCAGGTTAAACAAATGGAATATTTCTATGGCTATGAACCACCCACGGAAAATCCCTCAACCTGGATGAAATCAAAATATATTTCAAGAAACTTGACCCGTGACCTCTAAAAGTGACCTCAAGGTATGCGGTTTCGTGAATTATCCTTTGTAGTGTCACCGTGCTCAAACCGAATAAAATACCCATGATAATTTAACAAAAACAGGAATCCCGGACACAACCTTTTCGATAGGAGCATAAATCTGATGAATTGGCTTCTGACATGATAAAATGTCGCATAGTTAACGGCTTTCTGTCATCAAGGAGTGAACCAAGTGAAAGAAAACCGATTGCAACGGAACAAGACTTCTGTTGAATTCGATCGCAATCACGAAAAGTTGCACAAAACCAATATGGTGGATAGGCCGGGAGGATCAGCTGCATTTTCCTCATTCCGTTGTTCAAAAAATGATGGGTCAATTCGAAGTCACCTAATACCAAGCCGTTATTGAACGCTGAATAGCATAGAGCATATATTGGTTTGACTAACGAGTTCAAATAGCGTCATCCGTCCATTTGACGTTGGGTTTATCTCATTGGTGGCTAGTGAACAAAACAGCAAGTGGAGAAAGATGATCTGTTGACATACTTTTCCGATGGATTTTCTTTCCACTGTCAAACGAAATGAACGTCTATCCCGTCTAATGAATGCGATGGGAGGTAAATACTTAGCTCCTTGTTGTTGGTCTCCCGTATGTGTCACTCTGGATATCTCGAAATTTCGTGCACTGATGGGGCAGCTTTTTGATAACTGTCATTTTCGATACATATTCACAAAAATCATTTTTTTACCAGATAAACCTAGATAGCACTTTTCACTGGAAGAAGGTGGTAAACAAAGATTTGACTAGAGTATAATTTGCGTTTCACACATACACTTTCTGGATTGGTCGAGTTCAGTGCTAAATGAGGTTGAAAATTGAATATAATCGTAAATGTTTGTCTGTGATAACTCGATAATGGTGGTTAATGGCCCGGGTGCGGCATTTATCGGAGAAAACTGGCAAACTCTGTTTTAAAGAGAACTTAGTCGAATCCATGCAAAACTGACGGTCTTCAGTCCTAAGGGCCAATATAACATCCACGAAGTGAAAAGACAGTACATGTATCATGCCTATGGGTCGATTTTATCAATAAATTCTAAAGATGTTTTTTGCTTGGGCTGCAACAGCAATAGCAACCGTCAGACAAAAAGAGAAGTTGTACATTTTTTGCTATTCGTCTAATGGAGATAAAGACATAAATGGACATTATTATGACTATGTTGCGTCTGATGTGGGGTAACATTATATTGAGTCCAGTGCTCAGTATATGTTCAATGAGTCTTTCCACAAAAGTGCGAAAATACCAACAAGCAAAACGAATAATATCAGAATTACCACCAACGTATGGTAGATAACACATAGTACTGACATTGGCAAGCAATCCTTAGTACACTATATTTATCAAAACTCCAATATAACTAATGCAAAAAGCATATGAAGCACATATATAGGCTCACAAACGATATTTCTTTTGAAGATAAGAGTGTCACTGTGCACTTTATTAATCTCAATGGTTACATATTGTTAGTCATTCGTTGAGGGGCAAAAATGGAGGCACAAATCGTTATACGTATTCCGTCTTTTTCGGTCAATAATTGATAGAAGAAACTATATCCAAACTGCATTCGTTTTTTGTAAAATAATTGAACAAAGACTTGAACAAATAAAGCTTTCTATATTTTCAGTTTGGTTTCAAGGGAAACCGAACGAATGCTAATTCCAAACTTTGCTGTTGATTTGGTTATTATTTGGCTAGAAACCAGGACAGCTCATTTTGGTTGGACAAGGATGAACTCTTCGGAGGAATAGTCACATCATTGTTTTCAAATTGGTTCGCACGGCATACAGCACATGTTTTACACAGTTTTAATTTGAAACAGTTACACTTACGTGGAAGTTGGAATTGTTATGTAGATTTGGGAGTTGAGCAAGTGCATAAAAATAATGAACACACATTTTGCCACAACACTTCACCGAAGCGTGGTAGCCTAAATGATCAGTCTGTTGGAGAAGCTCACGAAAACGATGTTTATCATTGAGAGGGCTGTTGTAATTCCTTCTAAAATATGACTAATGGAATGGTTTTGTATATACAATTTATGTCCAGTTTGCGGTAGCTTACATAACAATGTTTTTCGTCGGTCTCAAGCAGCTTTTCTGTCTGGCTAACTCCAGTCTCAGTGTTCACTTTACAGAGAAGTTAGGTTTACAAACAATCATTGACGTTCGTTTTCCTGTATCTTACTGTGGAATTATAAGATGGATAGAAACTGAATCAATTGTCGCAAAACAAGGCAAATTGGGGCACAATAGAGGGCCAACTAAGTCCCCATCAATCAGTGCAAGTGACCTCAACGAAAAGAATTCCGGAGAAATATCCCCCTTGATCACCACAAATGTGCAATCACTTATTTGTCCATCATTTACATTTTTGTGGATGCCAATATTTCGGAATTGGAATCGCATTTTCCGTTGCTTTTTGGCTGATAGTACTGTTGCTTTTGTCGAGATGAAATAGAGTTGCGTGGTTACTGTAGCTGGGTGACTGATAATCCTATGTCGTGGACAGTTTTCTTTCATGTGTCACTGCAGAACGTCACATGCTGCGTTTACGATCAGTCTTTCGTGCCTATAGACATTTCATATACCTAGGTTTATGCTGAATTATACGGGAACAAGGGTATGTGATCTGTCACATGATGTATTGGTTGTAATAATTGAGGTGCGTACTTTCAAACCTGGAAATGTAAGCCATTGCGCTGGTAGAAATACCGTGATAAATAAATTCATTATATTTATCCGACACATATGTAGTCAGCCGCAGTATCACATGGCAACTGAGGCTGTATGTGAGTATCTGGAAACGTCGTCTTTTTCTAAAGCTGATTTCTACCTAACGCAATCAGATCATGCACCAGCGCTCTCTTGCCGCATCCTTACACATTTTAGCTGCACTAGGTTTGTAGACCGGGAGAGGTCAATAGGAAGATCATACGGATATGAATGTGATACACAAATAGGCATTTATTTTAGATAGAAATATCCCGTTTGCAAAGCTCGATGTATAAATTTTGAACAGTTCTTTTTAGAACCAGTTTACTTATGAACCAGCATTGCGATTCAGGGCATTCGCCTATTAGTTATTGTAAAATTAATTACGAAGGCACTCAAATCATGGTGATTGTGCCTAGCGCCATCTAATCCACATTCAGAGCAAAGGATCATATTATTGATTCGTAAATAGACAGGTTCGGAAATGACTATCCAGGCAGGTATTGTAAACAACAAATATTGAAAAAAAGATATTTAAGTAAATATCACATTTTTGGGGTAAAACGAAATGTACGAATTGGCAAACGATTGACGATTGTGTGTTTTGGAAGAAACAGTTTTTCTAGCTCATCCTGCCAATGCCTGTCTTCCTCTATTCACTGTACACCGTCCAATTTAAAATTTAACAACCATTAGAAAAATGCTTGTATTCGTGGAAATTCCTTTGCCCCGTTATCGACTTTCGTTGGTATCCCAGAAGCCACTTTGGCATCACCTTTTCCATTTACCTCAAATACTCTACCTGTTTCTTCCATAAATTCTTTGATTGTACCGTTTACTGATGGCTCTGCCAATGGGCTAATTAGTCGTGATTAAGCTACTTTTCACGTCTTGAATATTCAGATGTTAGATTCGAGTACTTGATGCAACGATGTTGCCTATGTATACGTCAATATTTGTCCCTGCATGACGAACCTTCATCCGACCAGACATCGAGTACTTACTTTGTCGGTATCATGAACGAAGCATGGTCACAATATTTATGTAATCCTATTTGAGGATATGTTTCTATGCTGCCAGGATCAAAATACTTACTTTGCATCTGGTCAAATTATTTGGATAATGTTTGGATCCCACCCCAGCTACTGTTCACTTCCTTGGATACATTTTCTGATTCCATTGAACAACTCATCAAACTGATTAGTAGATCCTTCAGATTTGTATGTCACGCATCCAGTTTATCAAGCCGTCAAATAACAAAATTTCCAAGCATATAAGACATTATAAGACATTGTAAACAGACTCTTACAATTCTGATGCTCAGTTGTTGAAACGGATCTTTCCCCGAATTGGGCAACAGGTCAAACATGAGACACCTGTTTGAACGTAATTCTACGTTTGAATCCTCTCTCGCAACATCTTCTTCCCTGTTTGGATTAGCTCCATGTACAGAGAACTGGGAAAACATATGAAACAACTGATGTGATTACTTTGCCAGTTCCCAGTTTTCCGTTTTCCTTCTGTGGCTACGGGTAAAGGTTCACCCACGGTGATCAGAACAGTGCTTTCTTTTGTGTCCCCTCGAGGATTGTTATCGGCTTGAAACTTAGACGCTCACCCACATTATTTATGAACGGTCACATCATGAGGGAATAACAAGTATAATTTGGATTACTTGGTTTATAGGAGCAGATCCAAATAAACATATATAAAAAAACAGCGTCTTCTGAATGTGCGACCTATTCTGTAAAGTATTCTGCATTCTGTCACTTATAAGGAACGAAAGACACTGAATAATCCATTTCTCAACAATTTTGAAACAGACAATTTCTGGATCACAATAAAAATTTACTCGATATGACCTTTTTGTTTGCGAAAATTAGAACTTTTTTTGTTAAATCTGTGTTCTTTCTTGTGTTGATATAAATGACTTCAATTTGGTTTCGTCCTATGATGAAATATAAAAACTCCATTTTACCAATGTCCGGCGAAGGGTCAATTTGACTCACGATTGATCGATGATCGATTTACCAGTTAAGCATCGTCCTGTTTATCAGTTGTGGATGGCATGCAAGCGACAAAAATCAAAGTGCTATCTGAGGAAGTTACGGTTAATAATAACCGAATTGCAACATTCATGCTCAATGGAAGAATTTGGCACCAAATACTGACAACATTCTCGTCTCGTCGAGTGAATAAAACCGTCATTTGTACACACACAAGGCAGATGTTTTATTCGTTTTATATCGCATACCCTGTCAGTAGGGGTTGATTGTGATTTTCAAACGCGTTATTGGAACATGGTCAGCGAAAAAGATAAAAAAGGAACAGAAAAGCATGTATTTCTCTGTGCCAAAGCCGCAAACTGCCAACAAAAAAAGAAAAGAAAAACATTACAATGCAAGCACACCAATTAGAAGATTCATAACGTGAGCTGAGAGGATCACGGGATTCATTGATCACTTTAGTTAGTTGGAAACACCTTAGAAGCCAGAAATATCAAACGTTTGATTGATGTATAGTTTCACTCACCAACGCATTTCAACACAAATGGTATGTTAGCGAGGTGCAGTTCCATCTAATAATGTTATTTCTTCCTTTGAAACCTCGCCATATCTTGTCCTTTCACATTTAAAAAAACATTCTTTAATAACAAAATTTACTTTATTGTATTTTAGGGAGAAGCACATTAATTTGTACTTCACTTATCACCACATAAATTCCACTTCGATGAAGCACTCCCTGTAAAAGTAGAGCAACAGTAGTTCAAAGAGCATCTTCGTGAATTGGTCCTGACTTATTTTATTATTATTATCATCATTATTTTTGTGCACGCCGAGACTATTCCGATATCACCATAAATTTACCTCGAACTACATCCTCTAGGTTTGTCACAAAGTGAAGCAATCTGGCCCTTGAACTGTACCATCTACGTTCTAGTTGGAATGAAATCAAATAAAGTGGAAACAGTCATATTTTTCCTGAAACTTTTGCGACCAGGTGCAGTATTCGATCTACAAGAATATCTAAAAACAACAAAACTATTCACCCACAATACAGGTTTTCGATGGTTCATCGTCTATGAGAAGTTCCATCACGAGACCTACACTCCAACATATATGCGTACTGTGAATGAAGTACTAGATACCACCATCCCTACACAAGGAAGACGCTAACTTTGACCCGTATGAATCAAAATATAAACACATCAATTCACGGATCCAGAAACAACAGTTTGGGGCTTGAACGTCTTCGGATAATGTATAGGCTGGTATATCATAAAACCTCGGAGAACAGATGCGATAGACTTGAGCAAACTCATTAGCTGGTAATTTTTAAACACGTTTTTGTTCCAGTAGAGAGAATGACATGAATTAATCGATCTAAGAACTCTTCTCGTCGAATTAATCATTGCATTGATTTAACGCACACTGACCTATAAACTTTCTATATCACTGAAACTTTACTGTGACATGGTTTGATGGTTTGTGCACTTCTGTGACGAAGAGCCATAGAAAATGAAATTTATTAGGCCAAAAATCTCATCGGGGCTGAAGGTTTGGATACAGAGCTCAGATAACGTTCAGCTTCTTTGTTCTCCATTTAAGAGTTCAACTCGTATTGGCGTGTCAGCCGGTAATACGATGAGGAAATGAGCGATGCGAACAAATAGGCCTTCAGTTTGCTTTACTTGTGTTGTATTCGGGGACTGTAATTTTAGTTAGTGATTGAGCAGGAAATACAGATAAACTTTAAAGAACTCCTTTATTGCGTCAGGTGCTGTGCAGGATAATTAGGCTTACGCTCTCCATGTCAATGAAGAAGATGCACCGTGATGTGGACTATTGATCAAATATCCCTGAGCTATCTGGATTGTTATTACTCAATGCTCTTACTTCGCTCCTTTATGTGACACGATATATTCCTCAGAAAACCTTTGGGTCGCTCGTCAAAGGTAGTGGCGAATTACCAATGTGAGTGTCCTCAAACGAGATAGTTTGCATATTTCGTGGCTTCAACAATCTTTAAATTTAGATCCAGGACTTCACTGCGGGTTGGCCTGTAAGCTCGTCTGACTCGCAAACTGGATTTCTGAGTGACGGATGATGAGGATAATGGTACTAAAGGTCACTTAATTGTTACGGTGCTTACTCTGCATATCGGGCAAAGACTAAACCCTTTCATTGGATGAGCGTGGGTTACGTTTTGTAATCAACAATAGGGTCGAATTCTAGACTATCGATTGGGTTGTCATCAACAATCGACTAAGTGCGGTGGATGTTCAATTCTACTGCACGCCAACTCAAATCGACCACAAAGCAGTAAGTTACAGCTGGTCACGGTCAACACCAAATAGATATTCTTCTTGAACTAAGCATTAGCTTTGTTGAAGTTCACGCTCCAAATTACCGGTTATAGACGAAACCAGCATACGTGGTTAGTTCATCATCGCCAGTTCGTGCGATTTGTGAGCCCTTTGAGTCAAAACTAGTACGTACGCTAAGCGCAGTGGAAGCAGATTATATGAGCGATCTATTCAGCAGTGAACGTTACTTGTGTACATAAGCATAAAACCCATTCGAGGCACTGGATATCTGTTGAGTCAATAGTGAGGATGAAGGAAAAACGGCAAATCTCTCTCAAGCAGAATGGAAACTCTCGTAGTTGGCTCCATTTCAAGAAGAGCCTCAAGAAGCATTGTTAAATCTGGTGGACAACAATAGCTAGTAAAATGAAGGTTGCAGCTGATTCGAAGAATATTCTGACTGTTCCAGCTGATACGCAACGCGGGAGTTTGGTGAATCCCGGTTACTGAAAACGTCTGTGACAATAGCCGTAATTCTATTTGCTTGTGGATGTATTTCAGTGAAGGGTTCAGCTGATAACCCCATCGGCAACTGAAGCTCTGTGGTAAGTGTCATGTGATCCTCCGGTAAATGCAGAATTCCAGTGTTTCATTCAAGCTCTGAAAGGGGGAACAGCAAGCAACAGGACAGAACGCGCCTCCTCATGCTCGTTTTAAGGCGCAAATGATAGTCCCGCATGATCTACTACTAGCCGCTCGCACAAAATCTGGCAACAAAAGTGCATCCTAGCTCATAGAAGCAGATAACTGTAAGCATTTCCAAAGCTCGAGCAGTGAATGCAGGACTAAAACACCTGTGATGTGTCCGTAACTCTTTACTTAAGTTGAACAGCCGTGTATACTGTGGCATCCTTCATTCAGGGTTGATTTATTGTGTTCAAGCCTTGAATTTGTGAGCGTTGGATATTCATTGGCTGGAGGATTTCGACTATCAGTGCTCACGTACTTTGGTTAAGTTGAGATGGTGTACACGAGTTTGTAATCTGAGGGTTATCTGCCTTGTGATTGAGAGTTTATCGGGGATAAATTTACTGGCCAATCGAATCCAGGTAGGTCGTTTTAACTTGTTGTTAGTTGGAGAAACCAAAGGATATTGCAACGATTCGAGAAACAGTGGCGATTTGTTCTTATTTGTTTGCAGTCAAGAATGTTTGAAAATGTGTTTTTCCACAGTTAAGTTTTATACTCTGTGTAAATTAAGAAGTTTGAAGTTCCTTCCGCCTCCCTAAAATAAGCCCGTTTCATGCTCACCTTACATACCTTACCTTTCTATGCGTTGAGAGGTCAACAGGGATAAATTCGCATTGCTGCATTTCGCTGTGGGATGTAATGGTTATGATGCTGAAGCAGATGTGCCTCCGCTTACGTTTTTACTTATTATAAACATACAAACAGGACGGAAAACAGAAGTTTCAACCCCAACACGATCACAGAAGCAGATGTATAATTATCTCTTTTACATTATCAAGCCGCCTGCTTATACGCATGTCCTATTTGAAAACCAACGGAATGTGCCCTTGTTTCTTATCTTCACAATAAAATCAATTGATTTTTTTATTAGAAACACTCATCAATGAGTTCTGCCACGTTTTGTCAATCAGAACTCATAATTCGTGAAACACGCTGAACTATTTCACTGGCTCCATATAAAAAAACACTCGGCACAATCGATTTGCATGTCTCCACTAACTTCAACGCTAACACCGCTTTACACCGGAACATTTGTTCTTAGTTCGCTTTATTAATCTCCGTGAGGACAACGGGTGCACAACAAATGTGAGTGTTTGCACAGCAATATCTTATTGCTAGGATTAGAACAACGTCAGCGAGTATTCCAATAAGATCAGCAAGTAGAGTGGTTAGCGTGCAAAAATGTTTACAATCTTCGGGAATGATTCGAATGAATATTTTGGAAATACTAATTTTGAGATCGCAAAATTCAATAAATAATATTTTAAAAAATAATGAATCTGCAATCACCCCTTGTAATACACTGTGAAACAACTTTGCTTTCCAAATCACCCGGGTTTGTCTAGAGAACCATGTCATAACCGCATTTCTCAAGACAGCAGCGGCATAATATGATTACGTACACATGAATCACCCAGAAAAGAACCGGTAGCAGATTTTGCATTGAAATGAATCAGATTAAATACTGAGTCCGTATTGAAACTGTTCTGAGTATACGTTACTTGAAAATGTCACTTATGGGAAATTAGTATTGACCAAACTCGTGCAACATCACTCTCATTTTGAAAACCCATTTCAACTTGCAATATCATGGTTATATATAGATGGTTATGACTAAACTGTATTTATTCCCGACTTTATCTACAACATCTGTGTTATTTGTTCATTGTTATCACCATTTGAATGTCCGCGACCTTGAGCGTCGCTATAAAATTCGAATGTTACAGCTTTGATTTAGAAAATATTTTGGGCAAAGCAGCATGGGAGCTTATCCTTTTCAACAGATGATTCCTGTTCTATAAGAGTTGAGCACACGTATTCTAAATTTCTATTCTATTTTCATTCAGTGCACAGTAAATAAGCAAATTATTGAAAACATTCTAACCTAAATAAATTGATAAATTGTTAGGCTACAAACTACTCACGCAGTATCTCCAATACTGAAAGACCTCAAAACATAGCCCAAAAAAGACACAAGTTGATCTTCGAAATTTGACCTTGAGATTAGCGGTTCGTTGAATAAGCGTCCTGTAGTGTCATCATGCCCAAATCGAATGAAACACTCAAAAGGTTTTGGCGAATAATTGAAGCCGAGAGGCAACTGAAACGAGAATCGCATAAATCTGTTTGCTCAGTTGATATCTTGTGGAAGCTCTTCGATGTGAACAAAAGTCCAATTTGTTGTACATTCAACGAAATTTCTCCATCAAGACATAAATTGAGAGGGGAAAACCAGCCATATCAAAGTAAGATAATGGTTGTATTTGATCGCAGCAAAGAGTTGCACAGAACCAATCTGGAGGATAGTCCGGGCTGATTAGTCATTTTCCCCCCACGCTTTCGTTTGGAAAATGATGGCTCAATTTGAAATGCAGCTGAGGCCGCGTGATATAAAGCTGTTATCGAACGCCTAACTAAGCATAGCGTGTATTGATTTGACGAACAAACTCAAATCGCGTCGCCCGCCCATTTGGCAATGGGTTTATCTCACTGGTGGCCAACAAGTAATTCAGCATATTGTTGGAGCTGATCTACTGAGCCAGTTTTCTAATGAATTTCTTTTTATCCGTCAAAAGAATTAAATATCTACAGCGCCGAACGAGTTGGAAGGGATACGATTATTGAGCGCATTGTTGTTGGTCTCCTGCGTACGCCAATTTGGACATAGCAAAACTTTCTGCACTGATAAGGGAGGTTTTTGATAACTGTCACTCCAAAAATGCATTCGCTGAAGTCGTATTTTTTGCATATGAAGGTTGGTATATTAGCTCGCTAGAGCTTTGTGATAGAAAACGGTTAGACCAAAGTAAATATTATTTTTTCACATTTATGCAGTTTCTAGACGGGTCGGGTTCAATTTCAAATTTGTTTTTTTTTTAAGGTGCAGCAGCTGGGATTTTATTTTATTCGGAAACGTATCTCTCTATCAGAAACATAGATAAGTCAGCTACCTTGCCACAGGTCACCGGTGTTAAGGGTGTGCGGTGTATTAAAGGAAACTTGAAAATCATGTTTGGCAGTCAACTTGGTGGATTCCATCCTAAGGCGACTGCCTCCAGTGCACAGAAACGAAGAGGAGCAAATGCTACATGGATGAGATAAAAGTGCAATACCTGTATA